GCAGTTACTAAAAAAATTAAAATCAAATATGTGACTTACATTTTATTGCTATGGGATAGTTCTGCCCTAACGTCTTTCCAATCCAGCAGTCAGATTTTATCATTCCTCTGGCCACAGTCCCCCAGTGGCCTTCCAGCTCCCTCAGGGAAGAAGCCACACTGTCCAGGGGGCGACAGGGCCTAGAAGACCTGTGTTCTTTCACCTTTTCCTCCTGCTCTCTGGCTGCTGACCAGCTCTAGGGCCCTCTCAGACCCCCGTCTGAGGGCCTTTGCTAACATGTTCCTGTAGTTCAGCTAATGCTTTTCCAGGTAGCTCTATGGCTGGCTTTCTCACTTCAGATGCCTACCCCGGGAGCCTCATTAATAGTATCAAGGAGTCTCATCCTGACACCCTGTCTATATCAGCAGCCCACTTCCTGCACACACTAACATGAATCTTTTTATAAGGTTTTGACTTGACTTTGAACAACTTCCCATTAACTGTAGAATGAAATCCAAATTACTTGTATTTCTGGATATACCCGTGTTATTTATACATTTTCTAACTTCAGCACATTTCTCACTGTTCCTGTAATCATACATACATTTATCACATGTAGGAAACAAAATAAGATAAAAACTGATAAAGAATACAGCATGGATTTTAAGGATTATTATTAAATGTAAATATATTTTTGTATTAAGTTAACATTCCTCCAACTTCAAACATTGAATGCTGTGCAATAGCAACATTTGTTTAACCCTTTGAATGTCATGTGACATTCATCCTATAAAATGTATGGTAATGTAATCAATAGCAAAAGCAAATGATAGACTCATCAGAGGAAACAATTATTTTGGTCAGAGTTTTTCTCTTGTTAATTTAAAAGGAAGCATAATTTATCAATAATTTAGCTTGACACCTCATTATAGTTAGGTGATTTTTTTTGGAATGAATGTTTCTATTGTGGCTAATGAAAAATACAGGAATTTATAGCTCCACAGTAAATACAGACTTTTCAGAAATGTTTATTGTTCTAGTTCATTAAAATGCTGTATCTTTTACACAGTATTTCTTAAAGGCCATAAAATTAATAGTGTATTTTAAAAGTTTTATTGGCATGTATTTCCTAAGTCTCATTTAAGCCCTAATGTTTAATTGTGCTGTCTCATATTGGCTTGGAATCTGGCAGTTCATATTATTTTTTCTGTTTCAAAAGAAAAACATTTCCCTGCAGGGCTAGCTTCCATATTCTTGAATGTGTTTATATCACACTGCTTTGCATTTTCATGTGCTGAAATCTTGAGAATCTGTCAGATCTAATCTAGATCTACTGTTTCTTTATGTCTTAAAATTATGCTGAAATATTCAATTAGTAACTAATCAAGTCCCTGGCCTGGCAGGATACATAAAACTAAACTTCTGTATATCAGCTCCAGAGCTTAATTTTAAATCTTTCACTAATGAAAGCAAAGACAGTGCAGTAAACTTTGATAGAGTATTGGAGAGCCAGTAAGCATTGTATGGGGTATAGGAGCCTCTAAAGCTCTCTACGTGTCCTTAAATACAGAATAATTCTGACCTTTTCCACTGCAACTTTTGTGTGTGTACTCCATACTACACAAGTTCCTTTGCCTTCTAAGAGAATTTACCCTCTCCTCACTCATCCTAATTTAAATCTATCAATGCAATAATATAACTTCCCTTTTAAACTTCCTCAGTAGAGTCGCTTTTTGCTATAAAAGGTCTTAAGCCAGGAGGGCATTTATTTGGAGTCTGTAATTGCATAAAAATTGAACTTCTTAAAGGCATATTCAAATGTCTTGTCCGCAACTTTATTGCTTGTGGTAGACCTTCTTGATAACTTTCCTTGAAGACTTGTACTCAAGGGTGGCCATCATTTTCTTCTCTTCCCACTCCCAGAGCCATCTTAAACAGTTTAAATATTTCCTGAAATTTTCTCCTGATGCCTTTACCTCCTCAATCCTGAAGACTGTTGCCCAGTCTTGAGTATCTCAAACTTGCCTTTCTCATCTTTTACAGACATATTCCAGTACCATTTCTAGTGCAGCCTGTGTAGCCATCTTTTCTTCCCCCACTCATTCTTTATACAGTCCCTGAAGTAATCTTCTCAAGCACAAATCTTTGTAGACTTTTCTTACACTTCAGCATTTTGGATAGTTTTTGCTTCTGAGCAAGGTTCTCTATAGCTTTTCCCCCTAATGGATCACATTGAAAAAGATAATAAAATGTGGAGATAAATTGAAGAGGAAACTTGGTCTTGGAAGCCAGTAATCTAAGGCCTCATGTTCACCTGTGATACATGCAGTCCCAGCTAGAGGTTTTAGCCCAAACTTGATAGCTGACGTGTCTTATGTAGACATGTAGCCCCTTTCTTCCCAAAGTAGAGCCTGTACAAGTACTAAAGGACTGTTAATTTGGAAGCAGAAGCCAGAGATTAAACAGTGTGAGAGAGTAAGGAGAGAGGCCTCTGGACCACTAGGACTCACTGCTACTGAGGACCCTCAGAGAAAATGTGTAGCAGGAGCCACAGAACTGTCCCACAGGATAACGGGAGAATGGGGCCTTTCCTACATTCTCTGTCTCCTATGGATTTGCATTGCTCCCAGGACTAAATGCTGCATTCCTCGGCTACACCTGAAGGGTACCTCAGAGACTTTTGTACTTCTTTGGAGTCCTAGAGCTTTGTAGGGCCGAATGAGGCAAGTGAATTGACCTGTTTACCCAGGTGCTTTGTTCTACAAGGTTAAATGACATGGAATAGAGTATTACCATTGTCTAGTACTTTCTACCTTCTGTACTTCTCAGATTGTGCTGTACCCCACATGAAGGCCACTTTGTTCCTAATTCTTTAAGGAGCTGGTTATGATGTGTTGGGAAGGAGAAAAAATATCATGACGTAAGCCAGAGGGTTAGTGGACCAACTACAGGCTAGTCTTAAGCTGGTATTATGGCTGTGTTTGTAGCCCTTTATCTCTTTCCATTGAGTAGCACTTCTGCTGGTTTGCCTGATGGAATGACCCAGACCAACATCTCTGAGGATTCTGAGACCTTGGCTCCTTTAACCTTCAGGCTGTCACTGCTGTCATCCTTAGCCTGTTTCACCAGGGATGGAAGCTCCAAGAGGTGCCTCAGTGAATCTCCAGATTTCCAGGATCCTCCTTTCTTCAACAGTTTTATTTCCTCATGATGTTTAGGAATGATTATCCCATTTGTCTACTAACTTTTCCTGCTGGTCCTGCAGCATGAAAAGTAAAAAGTAACCAGGCAGAGCTTAGCTACAATGGAGCGCTTACCTTGTCTTCTAGTCCATTAGTTACTATCTGGGGATGATTTTGCTTTCAGATAATATTTTTCAGTCTATGGTGTTATTTTCAATTGTCACACTGGAGGTAAGAGTTGCAGTTGGTATCGGATGGGTAGAAGCTAGGTATGCTGCTAAGATCCTACAATTCACAGGGCATACAACGGAAACATTTGGCCCCAAATGATAGTGATGCCAACATTGAGAAACTCTGCCCAAGTAGAAGTGATTCTACCTGCAGAGAGTTTAGATTTCTAATCCCACACAATCTAGAGATTCATAGTATGTAAGTGGGTCCTTGTAACTTACAGTACAAAGTCTTAAAGTCTTATGTCAGACACATGTATTCTAGCCCCTGGGACACATCACTAAATAGCATTTGGTAGTTTAGTACATAAACAGTGTTCTAGAGGAAAGTGTCCCAGAATTATCCAAAGTATGGGAAAGCTGAGACATTTTCCCCTCGTGTATTGAGTCTGTGGTAAGTCCATGAGGTGGGCCACTGGCATGGCAACATACATATATCGTACAGCCACATTGGACCCAGGTAGGTAGAAGGATATACAAGAACCAGGGGCAACTGTTCTATTGTGGAGAACATTCAGAATACAAGTAGAGGGGCTTTTTCTTTACTGCCACTATATTGCTAGTACTCTACAAGTGCCAGGCATATAGGTTCATATAGCTGGCCTAGTAAGTATCTGTTGAATAAAGATGAAAACAGAATAAATAATGAATGACTGAATGAAATCTTACCTGAAATTTTCCAAATGTATTGAATATTTTAGTGTGGTTGCTGGTTTCTTCCTAGGTGAAGAACCACAGGACCTCAAATCTGTGGCCTCCCTATAGATGTTATAATGTCAGCAATTAGCATATCTCCTGTTTGTTCCTATTACCTTTTTTTCTGGGTTTTATTGGCCATAATCCAGTTTGCAGTAGATAGTATAATACACAGATGCAATATTCTCCCTTGCTCCTGAGCAATGATTTAGCTGACATATTCCTGAAATCATCGAGTTAAATCTCAAAAGGGAGTTAGTTTCTCAGTGGATGAAGGTGAAGTGTAAAGGAAATAATAAAAAATGTGGGGACAAAAAATGTGTTCTCAGGTAATAGTATCTAGAGTAAGAGAAAATCTTTGAAAAGTAGTTTGCGCCGCAGTTTGACAGGCCTTTAGGTATCAGACTAAAGCATCCGCATGCCTGCCTAAGTAGTCCAGTACTGATGGTTTACCATCTTCTGCCTTTGTAATAAAGCTCATGTCGACTGACAGTATATTACATGTTTCAGTCTCTAACTCTTCTGTTTAAATCCTGTCAATCTCTTGGCCCTATACTAATTTCCCCTCTTGCATCCAGTTTTTCTAACCATTCCTGTCCACTCAGATGTCTCCCCCTAACCTCTATTTTTGGCACTTCTTAATTCCCACTCACCTAATGCTTTTTATGTTTTTATCTCACTCCTCAATGACAGAAGAAGCCTATCAGAGACAATATTCTAATTATTTCTGTGCTTGATATGACAAAGCAGAATGCACACAGTTTTTATGTTACCCCTAAACACACACACACACACACACACACATGCACGCACAGTCTAACACTATTCAATTTTGCTTCCTTTCTACATTCTTTTGCTTTGAATTATTCCTGATGGAATCTTTTTTTTTTTTTTTTTTTTGCTTATTTTCTAGATGGGAAGTGATGGAATTTTACGCCTCAGTACTTCAGCTCTAAATAATGAATTCTTTGCATATGCAGCACAAGGGTGGAAACAGCGACTGTCAGAAGGTAAATTTCAGTTTTCTGTTTTGTGTATCGGAGTACACATATTCTACTGATCTTTATACCTTTCTCTGATTTCCAAGTTTTTGTCCCCTTGAAATATAATGCAGTAACAACTCATATCTGGTTCCAAATGACTCCACTAATTCTTTTGATACACTTACAGTTTTTGAAGAAAGCATGATATTATCTAGGACGTGATAAAAAATCCTGATACAGCATCATTTTCTTTGAAATGATAATTTTAATTACATGGATTGAGCCATTAGTTATTCTAAGTGTCCTGGAGTCTAAGGAAACTTCTTTTAATACTTTTTTTTCTCCAAAAGCCGACACATCATCCTTCCATTCCATTAGTCACCAAGTTTCTTGAAAAACTAATGGAATTTAGTGTTACCCCATTTTTACTTCTTACACTGAGCTGCTGGCTCCGCCATACACACATGAAATACTGCTAGAGAAGACGACTGTCTTTCTGTGGCCAGCTCTAGTTTCCTTTTTTCTTCTTGTTCCTTACATGACCCGTTCCTTCAGTATCTCTGTGTTTTATCCTGTTTGGTGTGAAACCATCTACCTTAGGCATTCATAATATGTTTTGAGTTATTTGCCCAGGCTGCATTTCTGATAGCCCTTCCTCACCCTCCCTGACGGGTTCTTATTGCTGCTCTGTGTGATAAAAAGTATCTGTACTATTTTCTTTTCTAACCATGTATTCTTCTTAGTTTTAAGTGTTGCCCATATGCCAAGAACTTCCAGGTCTGATTCTCACTCCCTTCTCCTGATCCCTAGTATCCTGTTTCCAAATGCCTACTGGATCTTGCTCTCTGGTGTCAGGCACCTCAAAATCAAAATACTAAACATAAAATGTACTATTTTTCATATCTGCTCTTCCTTCTGCTTTCTCTGTGCTATCACCACTGTCCCATGGTTTAAAGCCTAAGTGTTGTCATTGACCTTCTTCCTCTATCTTCTCCTGAACAATTAATTGCATCTGATTCCTCTGCATCATCCCCCTCCTGCTAGCCCAGTGGAGTCTGTGTCTCTCATACTTGCTCATCAGGACCCCCTAGCTGGAGCCCTGCAATTTCTTCACTGTATTGTCTGCTTTATCTTTTTAAGCTGTTTGTTTGGCCGTGTCTCTCGCTCACTGAATGCACCAGGGCCTCCTTTTATCTCCCAGAGGGAAATACAGAAATCTCTTTGGTTCAAACTTGCCTTGTGTAACTGGCCTCAGCTTTTATTTCCTATTTTACTTCATTCATCCTATGTTCTGCTCATAATTGGGCTCTTTCTAGAATGTAAATAAAAATATTCTGATCTTTGTGCCTTGTGATTTAATCACTTTATGAAAGCCTGATCATCCTTCAAAAGCTGACTCAACTCATATATGTAATCCTCCTTAATTGATTTAGGCAGAATTAAGTGCTTTTCCATCTATACTTTTACTACGTATATTATTATTATGGCCTAAATGGCGCTTTTGCCATTCCTTCATAAGTCAGTGATGTGCCTTTGCTCCCATCAGGCTGATTTCCCTGAGGGACAGTGAGTAGCTGCATGCTGTCATTTGCAGCCCGGGCACGCAGTACATCCGCTAAATGACGTAGAGTTCTTCGAAGACAAAATGACTGTTGAGTGATGTTCATAAAGAGAGAAGCTGTAGAAATGTTATCATTACTTAATCTTTTACTTTTCAACATCCATAAAAGTGTAAAGAAATGAATCAATTACATGTTTTCTTTATTAATTGGGGAAAGATAATGTGACCGTTTTTACTCAATATATTACCATTTTCTTTCTAGGAGAGTTTACCCCTGAAATGCAATTACGAATAAGGCAAGAAATTGAAAAGGAAAAGAAAACAGAACCTTGGAAAGAAAAATTCTTTGAGAGGTTTTATGGAGAAAAGTAAGTACTAGAGCAATTTTTCTCATTTCTCTTAGAAGGAAATGAAAATGTGATTCTCTGCTTCACGTAGCACACTCATATGCTGTAAAACTTAATAAACCTGTGATAAAAGCCAATAGTCCCTCAGTGTAAGAAATTGCGACTAAAATTATAGTGGCATATCAGCACTTAAATTTTTAAAAATGCATTTTCAAGGATTTATAACTTGTTCATGAAAATTCATTTTGGACTGAAAATAGCACATGAAACCCTATAGAAGTCAATTTGGGCTTTCATAAGAGAATCTCAGTACAATTCTCCTAGTGTTTACCCAAGTATTTTCATTAATGAATTCTTTAAAGATAAGAAGTTTTAGGAATACATTCAATTCTCAATTTTTTTCTGAAAATATTGACTATGCATGTCCATTACAATATTTATTTAGTTCTTGTTTTGAGAAGAGCCTGAGGTATTATCCTTAACATTTTCCATCTTCTTTGTCAATTGTAGCTTGTTTTTAATTTCTTGTTTGTATGTGCATGTTTTTTAAAGGAATGCCATCCACATATCAGAATGATAGTAACTAAACTAACTTGAAAGGAGTTTTTGCCTCTGCCTCATGTTTAGCACAGATGTATTTTGCTTGAGCAGAATTAATGTATCAAAGACAATCTGATCACTGGGGAGAGAGGTGAGACATTTGGGAACTGACTATGGACAATAATTCTAGGTCCTCCTTAGTAGAAGAATTTGTAGCAGAAGCACTTCCTTAGTAGAGGCCAGCCTTGGCTCACTGTATGCTCAGTAGTGGTGCTCTTCAGTTGTAAGTCCTGTTTTTATTGCTGTACCAGAATTTCTGGATGTATGTATATATGCATACTTACGCAAAACTAAGTAGAGATAATTAATGCCTTTTCTCAACAGTTAATAATGCGGCAAGCTACTTACATGAGCAGTATCACTTCAGTCTGCCTACATCAAAACCTTCATTGTGGGGCCAGGGATTTAGCTCAGTGGCACCGCTCCTGCCTCGCAAGCACAAGGTCCTGGGTTCGATCCCCAGTACCAAAAAAAAAAACCCTTCATTGGATAGGTACAAGTTGGGAAAATAATCTCCAGGCATGAAATTCAGGAATCCACATTTTTAGAAGCTTTCTAGGTCATACTGAAGCCCAGCAGGGTTAAAAACCCTAGAGAATCAGACTGAAAAACACTCAGGAAACCTCCCTCCTTTTCTCTGTGAAAGGGAAGGTTGGGAACACTCTTTTTAGTGATAGCAGAAACAAAACTGAGTTACTTCAGGGCACTGGTCCTTTATTTTTGTTGAACGTTCAACCCATATCTCAGTGATATTTATCTACCCTCTCCTCCATATCAGACACCATTCTCAGTGCCAGGTGTGAGGTTGTCTGTAGGTTTCCGAGGCTCTGCCCACAGAGAGCCTACGTGGCAGGGACTTTGCATTATACAGAGCTCCCCTTCTTTCCACCAAAAGCACTGAACATACTCTGCCTGTGATATGTGTCTAAGAGTTGTGCCATGTTCATTCACTCATTCCTCCCAATGATCTTATAAGGTAGGTCTCATTATTATTTTTACAGGGAAAGAAAAAGATTAGGAAACTGAGGAATAACGAAGTTGAGTAATTTTCCCGGGTTTGCACATGGAGATTAAGTAAATTACTCAAAGTCAGAGTCTTAAGAAAAATTCCCACATGCTTACATTTTTTTTTTATGATGTTGGGAAACTTCAGACTCCCATGAATAGTAGGTTAAAGGCCATTGTCCAGAAGGTGACAACTACAATACTGTGAATAAATGTGACTCCCCATCACCATCACCAAGCTCAGGAACAAAATATTCTTATCCCAGGACCCTTTTCTTTCTGGGGCTTATTAATATTTTCTGGGTTTTGCCACTCTATCAACAAACTTGTCTCATACTCTTTTCTTTTTTTTTTCCATTACCTATGTGCCCTTCACCCCTCCACCCTTCCTTATTTACAAAGATTTCATTTCCATTTTTTTTTTCTTTTCTCATAATTTTTCCTTTCTCTTTTTTCCTTTCCCCTTCCCCTCCCACCACCCCTACACCTTTGGACCTTTTCCTATTTCAAATTATCAGTTATTCGTTTTAATCATTTTAATCCTTATTTACACTTTCAGTTTCTCACACTAGAGAAACTATTCGGTATTTACACATGTGTGTCCTATTAATTTCACTTAAGAGTATGGCCTCAATATGCATCCATGTAACTATAAATGTCTCTAGTTTTTCATTCTTTATGCTGAGTAGTACTCCATTTTATAAAAAGACCACATCTTCTTTATCCATTTTCAGTTGATGTCTCATACTCTTTTCTATCTTTGATTACATACTGGATAATTGGGGTATTGTGGACATCTCCTTGATTCCCCTCCTCATTTTGTTACTACTAGATTGCCTGCATTCCCCTAAAATGACAGATTTTCCTTAGGACTAGACAATTTTCTCTTGACCTTTTCATTTTTCTAAGGTTTTCCAAGAATGGTGCCATCCAAATGTTTCTATTTAAGATCTGACTTGGTTTAGATATTTATTATAATTTTTATTGGCTTAATGTGCTTATAGTATAGCACTCCTCCATATTTGTTTTAGTTACTTGGAGATCGCTTATCCATGTGCTGAGAGTTAAAGTGTTCGTTTGTAAATTCATGGCCCAAATCTCTGGTGTCAGGTTTTCTTTTAGATAGAAATGATGTGTTGTGAAGGTCTTCCTATGTCAGTAGCATCTTAAGTATGTGTAAGTATATTTTATACATTTTAACTCTATACATATATATATATATCCTTATCTATGTGTTTCATAGTATTGTTAGTAGCTAACAGAAATTTACCTGCCAATATCTAGATTTCTGTACGTTATGTACCTAACTAGTACCAGTGGTGTGCCTGCTTGACCCAACTCCAGAGGACCTTATCTCTAGCTGATCATTCTGGTTTAATTTTCTATAATACACTTGTTCTCCCCCTTTCAATAGAGTATAACTCTAAAGTGTAGCTTTGCTTGATTCCCTCTTGTGGAAAGTTGCAGAGAGTAAGCTAATCACAAAGACAGTATTTTCCATTATATTTCCAGAGCCTTCTCGGTTGTTTTAAAGAAGACAGTGTTCAAATGCCCCCAGAGTACATTCAATTTTTTTTCCCTTTCATTTTGGGAACTAAGTAAGAGTTTGAATTGGATTTCATTGAGATATTTTCTTGTGTCAGTACTATTAGTGCTCTGTTTCTTCACTTAAATGTGTTTCTGTTAATGTTCTCTGTTGTTCTTACTTTAGGGTACATTGCCTGTACCCTATTTATTTTCACTTGAATAGCAAATTTCTCTACTGTGTGATGCTGATGTCATATCTAAGTATGACCAAAAAACCCCAGTGACTTACAGTATACTTAATTGTAATTACAAGATGCTTGATTGTAATTCTGAGTAGCTTTGCTGCAGACCTGAACTGGATTGTTCATTGACCCCTGACTGGATTATTTCTTGATTTTCTTCACTATTTTGTGTAATATCTTTACAGTAAACAATCTACACAAATATATTAGAAATGCTTTCTTCACACAGATGTAAGCTGATAGGATAACTTTGATGAACCTATTTTTTTATTCTTTAGTAGAATTTCCCTGTTATATTATATGCTAGATGCTGAAATAAGGTGACTGAATAATATTTTTTGGATTAATTTCAAAGATTAAGAGAGACAAAGTTTGGAAGACGTTTCAGTTTTACTGTGTGCTTGTTTGTTTGTTTGTTTGAGACAGGGTCTCACTATGCAGTTCAGGTAGCCTTGAATTCACTATGTATCCCAGGCTGACCTCGAATTTGCAGAGATACTCCTGCCTCAGCCTCCTGAGTGCTGGGATTACAGACCTTGACCACCATGCCAGGCATCAGTTTTAGAATTTGATGTATTTCATTTATTTACCATTAATCTTAATTATTTGGTTCTGTTACAACCCCTGAAGTCTCCATCATTTTCTGTCATGAGGGCATCTTTCTACTTTCTGACTTTAAAAAAATTTTGATCTTTCGATAGTATAGTTCTTTTGTTTTTCTGCCCATATTTTCTAATCTTTTATTTGTAATTTTATTCTTTACTAATACTTGGTAGATTAAGGTTTCTATCTCCTTGTCTAGAAAATAAAAATCTGTACCTTCCTTAACCAAAAACAATGGAGAAATTATATCATCATAAAATATTTTATATAAACTCTTCATGTTACATAGTGATAAGATTAATGTGATGCATTAACTTTTATTGAACATTATATTTGTAAGAGATCCAAGTTGTGGCTTTCTTGTTTTGTAGTTGAGCAATAATTTAATATCTCTAATTGCTGTTTAGGTTGGGCATGTCAAGAGAGGAATCTGTGAAGCTCACTTCTGGACCAAACAGTGATGGAGCCGAAGGTAGTTCCTCATGTGGGACCTCTGGCCCTCCCGGTTCTTCTGCACAGGCCCCCTTGGAAGAACAGCACCCCAAAAGTATGGAAAATCCACCTTCTCCAGAGCCAGATTTCTGCACTACACTTTGTCCGATAATAGAAGTTCCAGCTAAAGATGTAATGGCGGAATCAGAGTCAGTGGATATCTTGATCCCTGAGGAGTCTGTGATTCAGGAGGAAATTGCAGAAGAGGTAGAGACTAGCATTTGTGAATGCCAAAATGAAAATCACAAGACTATAACTGAATTTTCTGAGGAATCTGAAAGTCCAACCACCTCTCATGAGGAGCCCCAATTAGCACCTCCAGAAGATAACTTGGAATCCTGTGTTATGATGAATGATGTTTTAGAAACTTTGCCTCATATTGAAGTACAGATAGAAGAGAAATCAGATTCACCCCAGGAAGACATGTCAGTTGTTATTGATCAAATAGAAGCCTGTGACTCTCTTGTTCCTTCTACTTCATCTGTGACTCATGTCAGTGATGCAGAACACAAGGAACCAGAAACTGCAGTAGAGACCAATACTCCAAAAGTAAAAACAGGGTCATCTTCTCTAGAAGGCCAATTTTCAAATGAAGGAATTTCTGTAGACATGGAGCTCCAGAGTGATCCTGATGAACAGCTTTCTGAAAATGCCTGCATCTCTGAAACCTCCTTCTCTTCTGAGAGCCCAGCAGGAGCCTGTACCAGCCTACCATCTCCAGCAAGAGAAATCCAATCTACACCCGAAGAATCATGTACTCCAGCCTCCCTGGAGACAACATTTTGTTCTGAGGTCTCCAGCACTGAAAACACGGACAAATATAATCAGAGAAATGCCATGGATGACAACCTTCATACATCTTTGATGTCAGAAATATCTCCAATATCCACATCACCTGAAATATCAGAAGCATCTCTTATGTCCAACTTACCACTAACATCTGAAACATCACCAGTATCCAACTTACCTTTAACTTCAGAAACATCACCGATGTCTGATTTACCTTTGACATCAGATACTTCTTCAGTGTCTTCCATGCTTCTCACCTCTGAGACCACTTTTGTATCCAGTTTGCCACTTCCTTCAGAAGCATCTCCAATTTCTAATTCTTCCATGAATGACAGAATGGTGCATCAACAAAGAAAGTCACCCTCTGTGTCTGAAGAGATGCTCTCTCCACAGAAAGGTGAACCTTCTGCCCCTGGCAAATCCCTGGGAGAGAACCTTATCTCCCAGCAGAAGACTCTCTCCAATACTTCTGAACCCATCAAAATGTGTTCTTCTGCCATTGCTCCTGAAGCATTTCCATCTGAAGAACTGCACAGTAAGACCCTGAGTCAGCAGCCTTGTAAATCACATATTGAAATTGAAAAGCCCTATCCTCCATCCATTGCAGAACTTCCATCTACAGAAGTGATGAGAGTTAAAAATCACAGTGTCCTGCAAAGAACAGAAAAGAAAGGGGTGTCCTCACCATTGGAATTATCTGTCTTTTCTGAAGATACTGACAGTAAGGGAAATGAGCCTCCATCAACTAAATTACAGGACAAACAGTATGTCTCATCAGTGGATAAGACTTCATTTTCAGAAGGTTTGAGAAATAAAACACATAAGCAAGGGAGCACACAGAATCGATTGGAGACCTCACATACTTCCAAGTCATCAGAACCCTCCAAGTCACCTGATGGCATAAGAAATGAAAGTAGAGAATCAGAGATATCAAAGAGGAAAACTGCAGAGCAGCATAGCTTTGGAATCTGTAAGGAAAAGAGAGCTAGGATAGAGGATGATCAGTCAACCCGGAATATATCATCTAGTAGCCCACCTGAGAAAGAACAGCCTCCAAGAGAAGAGCCTAGGGTCCCCCCTCTCAAGGTATGGTATTACAGAAGGTAGATCCACAGATAGGCTTCCCCCATTTGGAAACCAAATTTGCGAGAGTAAATTGGAGTTTTCTATTTCTAAATTTTATATAGCAATTTATAATCTGTCAGCATCTGGTCTACGAGAAAAGGATCATTGTTAAGCTATGCAATAGACTCGTAAGAAGTTCAGATATACGTGTATATTTAGACATCAATATTTAAGTAACAAAACTGGGGAAAGACAACAGGGTCTGAAAGAGCAGAGAGACTGAAGCACCAGGACTTTTAGGATTTCCAAGTTGCAAAAGAAACCTGAATAAACTTGGAAAAATTTGAAAGGCAATAGTGTCCTGTGAAAGTGTAGAATGACTAGGAAAAGCAGTTAAGACTCAGAAGTCAGCACTGCAGAGGGAAAGGTACATACTATTCCTTCATTCATTTTTCTAGAAACATTCAACACCACAGTTACTTAACAGAAAGAACCCTGGGACATGGCTGATCATAGAGCCTCATTAAATATTTCCTGAATAAACTAGTAAGATTGAATTATGAGCTCTGAGGGGGAAGGCTGTAGATATACAGGTGTACAGATGCTATATTTTTGCTTCCAAGATTATTAAAGAGGTGTTTAACATCACAAAATAATGAAAAAAATTCCTATTTATATACGTCTCTGATCCTAAGTACATTTTTACTCAGAAAGCAAAACTATTATATAAATTGGATCTGCCTAAGGAAACTGAAAATGAAGGTTAATTCAAAAGAAGCCCTTTGTTTAATTTTTTAACCTCTGTAATTTTTATTTATTTGATGCTTTTATCTAAGCCCACTTATATTATTGTACAAGGTGAATATTCTCCCATGATGGAATTAGTTTAGAATTATAAACATCTCAAGCTTTTAAAAGTATCCTTATTTTTAAAAGTATCGTATTTTGCTTTCGTACATATGTATTTTTATAGATGACACAGGATCTCTGCAAAGGTTGGCTGTTAAAAGTTATGGTTGTAGTTATTCCATTTAATAGAGTAGTGCCTATTAAGTAAGATTCTAGATGTGTAAAATACCAACATCAATTCCAATTAAAAACCCATACATATTTTAATTTGTGAACCATGAGAAGAAAAAATGTATGTATCTTTTTAGATGAAATGTTTTAAGCATACCATCTTAGAGTTTTGGTTAAAACCTCATTTTAAAAGCAAAATGCACTTTATTTAATGATAGATAAATTAGATAGATGAGATAGATACTAAACACATATTTGATGGTTAACCTCGAGTTCTTAAAGAGATTTAGGATTAAGTTTTTTAATGTTTTAGACAAGGGGAATATTTAAAAGGAAAAATTGAATCCCCATGCCAAATTCATCTCTTCTTGGTCATAGATTAGAGGGCAGGCATCATAAGTAGTTTGAAAATGAAAAATGATACAGCTCAGGAAGGTAATTTCATCTATCAGATTTCCAAAATATAACTCTAAATTAAAATGATCCTGTAATATGCGTCAAGTGGTTTCCATGTAAATGTACGTAGGTTGGGAAGAGAGATATTTTCTAGAAAAGGGTTATTCTAGATGAGAGTAAAAGGGAAGCAGAGCACCTGTAAATGGCACTGAATTTAGAACCCACACTCTGTCACCCACTGGTTATGTGAACCCATGGCAAACTACTTCACTTCTACAGGCTCAATTTTTTCAACTATAGAATGAAGACTTTCATTAGGGTCCTTCTAGATCTACAGATCTGTGACTCTAAGACTGCTTTTAGTGACTAGAGCAGTGGTGGCGAACCTATGGCATACATGTTATTTGCTTTTAAGAGAAAAAGGTGTTAATATACGAGTTGTTTTTTCTGAACTAAAACCTCAGTGTTCAGGTTTAATTGCAGTATTGGCACTTTGTGATAAGTAAGTGGGTTTGGGGTTGCAGTTTGGGTCCTCATCTCTAAGAGGTTCGCTGTCACTGGACTAGAGCATAACAGCATTGCTGTGGGATCCTGGGTGTTGGGACTTACGCTTTATAAATTTGGTGGTGAGTCTCTTCATTAGCATGATGAGGTGAACAGTGTAGACTGGGACATGTGGGAAATTTAGCAGATGGTGAGTTACCAATATCAAAGGAAACTGCCCAGCCCACACTTTCTTTGAAAGGCAGAAAATCAGAATTGCCCTTGCTTTTATGAAAATATAATGATAATGTAATCCCTTTGGAAAATAGAGCACTCTCACAAATACAGCCTCATTCCATCTTTATAACAGCTCTGTGAAGGAAATAGACCAGAAATAATTCATTTCATTTTACAACTGAGTTTACAAACTCATATACTGTGCTCATACATATAAAGCAGCATGTTAGGTGGGGTTGGAGTACATCAAATGTGCACAGTCCCGGGATCAGGGTTACTAGAGAAACTGAGGTACACAGTAATTTGTCTAGGATGATAAGGTATGTTTGGGTAAAGCCACGATGAGTATTCTAGTTTCTCATCTTCTTGTGTAGGACTTTTTACTTTGGTTCAGATTAATACAGATAAACTCAAGTAGTGCACATGTCCATTTTTGTTCATTCCAGCAACAAGGATAATTTAAATATGAAGTATCTCTTAAGTCTTTTTTGCTAACTAAATTTTAAGAAGCATAGATTTTGTTCCCATTTATACAAAGCCTTAAGATGCTTTATTCCCATGCAAGTGAAGTCGCTGTTTGATGTTTTTTTAATAGAAAAAAACCCTCCTTAATATTCACATTCTTGCTATATTTGTTATTTTCTCTCCTCAACACCCATTCAGGAATTAAGCTATGTTTCATTCCACATGATGGGAAAAGGCACCTTGTCTTCCCTTTGTGTTATAGCATCCCATGTGTCTCCTCTGCAGTCACATATAAAATGCTTTAATCTTTCCATCCTCTCCTTCTTTTAGATCCAGCTTTCCAAAATTGGGCCACCTTTTATCATCAAGAGCCAACCAGTGTCCAAACCAGAGTCTCGAGCATCCACTAGCAGCACATCTGTCAGTGGAGGGAGGAACACCGGAGCCAGGACCCTGGCAGACATCAAAGCTCGTGCCCAACAAGCCCGTGCACAGCGTGAGGCTGCCGCAGCTGCTGCTGTAGCTGCTGCAGCCAGCATTGTCTCTGGAGCCATGGGAAGCCCAGGAGAGGGTGGGAAGGCAAGAACCCTGGCACACATCAAGGAACAGACCAAGGCTAAGCTCTTTGCAAAGCACCAAGCACGAGCCCACCTCTTCCAGACCCCTAAAGAGACGCGATTACCTCCTCTCAGCTCCAAGGAAGGGCCTCCAAACTTGGAAGTCTCTTCTATCCCTGAAACAAAAATGGAAGGTTCTACTGGTGTCATTATTGTCAATCCAAACTGCAGATCTCCTAGCAACAAGTCTGCACACCTCCGGGAGACCGCCACTGTATTACAGCAGTCTCTTAACCCTACTCAGCTTCCAGAAACTGCCACTGACTTATCCGTGCATAGTTCTGATGAAAACATACCTGTGTCACATTTATCTGAGAAAATTATTTCATCTACCTCTTCTGAAAATAGCAGTGTGCCCATGCTTTTTAATAAAAATCCTGTCCCTGTGTCTGTTTGCAGCACTGCTATGTCGGGAGCAATTAAAGAACATCCCTTTGTGAGTTCTGTTGACAAATCCTCTGTTCTAATGTCTGTTGACAGTGCAAACACTTCAATTTCTGCTTGTAATATAAGTATGTTAAAAACCATCCAGGGAACTGACACTCCATGCATAGCCATTATACCAAAATGTATTGAAAGCTCCCCTATTCCGGCCACTACAGAGGGCACCGGCATGTCAAGCCCCATGGATGATAAGCCCTTGCTAGTACCAAGCAGCAGTGCTACTAACTTAGTCTCCAGTCACTACACCTCTGTGCCAACTCCCTCGATTGGAAATACTTTGCCAAACCATCTCTCCACTAGCTCTGTCTTGATTCCCCCAACGGGAATGAACAACAGATTTCCTTCTGAGAAGATAGCCATGCCTGGGAGTGAAGAACAGGCCACTGTATCCATGAGTCCCACTGTGAGAGCAGCCCTCAGCTGCAGCGATTCAGCAGCAGTCACCGACTCTCTGGTTACACGCCCATCTGTCGCAATGTTTACTGGAAACATGCTAACTATAAACTCTTATGAGAGTCCTCCCAAATTAAGTGCTGAAAGCTTGGACAAAACTTCAGGGCCTCGAAACAGGGCAGACAATTCTGGGAAACCTCACCAGGCACCAGGGGGCTTTGCACCAGCAGCCATAAACAGATCGATACCCTGTAAAGTCATCGTCGACCACAGCGCCACGCTGACCTCCAGTTTGTCTCTTACTGTCTCCATTGAAAGTACAGAAGCCAGCTTGGACCTCCAGAGCAGGTCGGTGAGGACAGAAGTATCTCTACAGCCCATGGCATGTCCTCAGGTGTCTGTTATTAGCAGGCCCGAGTCAGTGGCCACTGAAAGCATAGATCACAGTTCTAGTTTCATTGCTGCTTCAGCAGCCAAACAAGACTCTAAAACCTTGCAGGCCCCCTGCACCAGTCTCCGAGAATTACCCCTTGTTCCAGATAAATTAAAGGAGGTGACTGCTCCTAGTCATAGCTTTGCTGAGCAGGCATGTAACCCAACTACTTTCAAAAATGAAGCAGACACAACTTGTAGCAATCAATATAACCCAGGAAACCGGATTTGCTGGAATGATGATGCCATGAGGAGCACAGGACAGCCTCTGGTTAGTCACTCGGTTTCAAGTAAACAGAGAGAATACCCTGAGCAGAGTTGCCCCAAGGCCATCAAAACCGAGCACAGCAGCTACTCCCATGTGCCAGAACTCCAACCCAGGAATCTCATAACCAATGTCAGTCTTCCTGTGAAGTCGGAACCTCATGAAGTAGACAAGGGCTTTAGAATGGAGACTGAAGACTTCTCTGGCCCTGAGCTGCCTCCCCCGGCTGCAGAAGTGGTCTCCAGTGTGCAGCAAACACAGAACGTTAAAGCTTCCACCTCGAACCCCATGGAAGAGGCTATTTCCTTGGCTCCAGACACGCTGAAAAGAGTTCCTAGTACAGGAACCTCAAGCTGTCGCCTGTCATCCGTGGAGGCTAACAATCCACTGGTGACACAGTTACTGCAGGGCAACCTGCCTCTGGAAAAAGTGTTGCCACAGCCCAGGTTGGGAGCCAAGCTTGAAATCAACAGGCTTCCGCTGCCCCTTCAAACTACCTCAGTGGGTAAAACCGCACCAGAGAGGAACGTTGCTGAGGTGCCGTCCAGCTCTCCAAACCCAGACGGCAAGGGCCATTTGGCAGGGACACTTGTGCCAACACAGATGAGAAAGCGAGAAAACCACCCCAAGAAGAGAGTAGCCAGGACTGTGGGGGAGCACACTCAAATTAAGTGTGAACCAGGGAAATTGTTGGTGGACCCCGATGCTAAAGGAGTACCATGTGTCATCAGTTCCGGCATTAGCCAGGTAGCACACAGCCAGCCATTTAAGCAAGAGTGGCTGAACAAACACTCCATGCAGAACAGAATTGTGCACAGCCCTGAGGTCAAACAGCAGAAGCGGCTGCTCCCCGCCTGCAGCTTCCAGCAGAGCCTGTTTCATGTGGACAAAAATGGCGGCTTCCACCCTGATGCTGGTACCTCACACAGACAGCAGTTTTACCAAATGCCTCTGGCTGCCAGGGGCCCCATGCCCACTGCAGCTCTACTACAGACGCCTTCCAAGACCCCAGTGGGCTGTAATGCATTTGCCTTCAATAGGCATCTTGAACAAAAGGGACTGGGAGAGGTTAGTCTTCCATCAGCACCTCACCAGCTAAGGCTAGCCAACATGTTGTCCCCCAGCGTGCCCATAAAAGAAGGCGATGATGTGGGAGGCGCCATGCACACAATGCCCAACAAAGCACTCGTGCATCCTCCACTGCCGCCACCGCCGCCTCCCCCGCCCCCTCCCCCCCCTCCACCCTTGGCCTTGCCCCCACCGCCGCCACCGCCACCGCCACTGCCACCTCCACCTCTCCCCAGTGCAGAAGTCCCATCCGATCAAAAGCAACCGCCAGTTACCATGGAAACCACTAAGAGACTTAGTTGGCCGCAGTCCACTGGCGTATGTAGCAATATAAAATCGGAACCTCTTTCTTTTGAGGAAGGTTTGAGCAGCAGCTGTGAACTGGGAATGAAACAAGTTTCCTATGACCAGAGTGAAATGAAAGAACAGTTGAAAGCATTTGCGCTAAAAAATGCAGATTTCTCTTCCTATCTGCTTTCTGAGCCCCAGAAGCCTTTTACTCAGTTAGCTGCTCAGAAAATGCAGGTGCAGCAACAACAGCAGCTCTGTGGAAATTATCCGACAATACACTTCGGTAGCCCGAGCTTCAAAAGAGCAGCAACTGCAATTGAAAAGTCCATTGGGATTTTGGGAAGTGGTTCCAGTCCCGCCACGGGCCTGCCCGGTCAGAACGCTCAGATGCCCGTTCAGAACTTTGCCGACAGCAGCAACGCGGATGAGTTGGAACTGAAATGCTCTTGCCGGCTGAAAGCCATGATTGTGTGCAAAGGCTGCGGGGCCTTCTGCCATGACGACTGCATAGGCCCTTCCAAACTCTGTGTAGCTTGCCTGGTGGTGCGATAAGAGCACAGTGAAAGATGCAGTATCCCTTTCAACCCGGAAAAGCCAAACAGCATCAGCAACAGCAAATTGAATAATGCAATGGCTCATATGCTAATTTATTTTACTCTGGAACCGATTATCTTTTCTCTATAGGATTATGATTTTCTTGCATTTCTCATACAGCAGAGGATGCATCCCCACTGAATGGCTCAACAGTGTCTTTTATGTGTTTAGTTGCCATTCCTGGCTCTAAAAAGTGTCTGTCTGTTTATACAGTTCACTGCCCCATGCCCCCACCCTTTTAACCCAGGTGTAGATAGGAAAATGACATTTTTACTTGCTGAATCACCACAAATGCAACTGTAGAAAGAGAATGATAACAGTAAGTTAAGCTGGTCATGCATTTTTCTATAGATAAGGTGATTACAGCAAATGTCTTTACAGATGACTTTTCCAGACCCACCTCGTCCAAAATGACTAAGTTGTATTTGGAATGAGGAATCTGATTCCTGTATTTACTCATATCCAGAAGATACATTAAAGGAGTATACCACTAATGAAACCCACTGTCCCTGTTCTCTCTCCTCCCTTCTTACTCTTTCTCAAAGACTATGGCAGAAAATCTGGATCTGCCTTGGATTTTGTACACAGATTATTGTGAAGTGTGTTCTGCACCTAAAACTGCAGAATGGGCCTTGTGTCCAGTAGCCTGGATCAAGCCCAGAGACACCTGACAGAGTATGATCGCTTGGCCAACAAAGAGCTGAAGGCTCAGAGGATTTTTGGAGCTTCGTGTGTCTTTTAAGGGCCATTATGAAAGAAACACGCCCTCTAATTGAAAGCAAAGAAAGTGCTATATGTGCATGCATAAATGGGTTGATAATGTAAATATTAGTCATTCTATTCACTCTAATTCAAATGCTAAATATTCCAATCAGAAAAAGCAATAGTAACCCTTATTAATGACACCACTGCTTGAGGCCTCCACCTATATGGAAGTTGGCCATCTCTTTTTACAAGTGTTGTTGATGATAAAAGGGACTACAAAAGGATGAAGTGTGACTTTTTCAGAACCATCTTTTTCCTCATGATTGTATATGATTCTAGCCCTTATTAAAAAAAATTATTATTGCATGTTTTGCTTTGTCCCCCCTCTTTAAATCTGGGGGAGTGGTACTGCTCTCAGAAAAGGGATACTGCATCTTAAAATTATCATCAGTGTTTATCCAGCATGGTTTGAGTGTCAAGTATTTGAGCTACATTCCTTATATTCTGGCCACCCTCCTCCTGGAGAACAGCTGTAGTTTTAGGAGGCTCTGTTCCCAAAAGCAAGTTCAAAAGCACACACATATTGTGAGAAGATGAAAGAAAGCAAAACCACACCCATTTAACTTCAGATTACACAGCACAAAATGTGGAGTGCCATTAACCAGCTGATTGATTCTGGCTGTAGAATTAAAAAAAAAAAAGATGGGGGGAGTATCATCTCTATCCAGGATAAGCATGACAGACATTTTCACATGTGATCACTTGAATTAATGTAAACTTTTTGACATGATAACATGTCTTAAGAATTAACTGGAATGAGTAGAAATTACATTCCTGAAAGAAACAAAAATACTTGCAACTTTTTAATGATAATCAACTATGATATTTTTTCCTTCATATTGTTGTGATGTTGCCAAATTTCTTTAGGTGACAGTGATGTCGTTTTTATTAACAAGTTGATAGTGAGAGGTACTATATCTTAAGAAAGAACAGCAAAGAAAGACCTGCCCTGTGGCCATGATTTGGTGGTGGTTCAGTAATGTTTCTTCTGCTTTTCATATTAAAATTAACAACTGAGAAAGTTAGCAACACACTCAACCAGCTCTTCCCAATGAATGCAGTGTGAGTGCCAGCGGATCCTTAGGTAAGGGCACACCAAGTTGCATTTGGATGGTGATGTCTATCAGCGATGTCTCTATGGTCTGCTTGACTGATATCATCTTAATCTCGAAGATCATGCTCTTAGCCTCATAGCAGGCCACCCCTGTAATATAGACACTTGCATGTCAACTTCTTCCAAATTGAGTCGCTGCTATACCAGTGTCAGATACTGTCTACACCAGCAGATTGAAAAGTACCACACCAGTAACTGACATATTCTGACAGAAACTCCAGCCTACAAAACCTTTGTGCTCTATATGAGGTACAATTGAGGCTGACGCGACCCTAAGCTCATTGTCAGCTCTGTCTGTCACTGTTGAATATTGCCTGCAAGTTTCTTACTGGGAATACGTAAAGTGTCCTTCTGTATGTTTGGAATTTTTTCACATAACAGGTTTGGAGAAATCAGTTGTGGTAGTGCATGGATTCTATTGCCCAGGTCCAAAGAGCATAATTTTTCTGTGCCCTTGCTCTCTTTCACCCCAGTTCAAATTTGTAGTATTCTCATATGGTTCCTGTCACTGAAAAAATTAATATCTTTGAGCTAAAAATAATGAGAGAAAAGAAATTCAGAAGTAAAATGTGGGTGAGCTATGTTATGGGTGTCCATTGAATATATATTAATATATATTAATGTGTATATTAATATATATGATATATATACAAGAGCCAGTATATTTGAATTAGGTGAGTAGGTTCTTAGTTTCCTACTTTCTACATGTCTCTGCCTATGTACAAATAGAGTATGTAATTTACTACTTGGTTATTGTGGTGTAATGTACAAATTTCAGTGTGTGCATTATCCTGATTATGGGACACTATTATATCCCTATCAGGAATAGGACTTGCACATTTAACGTATTTTTCTTTAAATCACAAAGGATGTATTTCCCTAAGCAGCACTTTTGGAGCAGGGGAAGGAAGAAAACTGCTATTCCCTAATCCCTCTCCTATATGATATGCATATGCCTGAGGTGTATAAAGACATTTAGGTAGTCAATGGGCATGTTAATAAGAGAGTTCTGATGCAAATTCATTTTCAAAATGAAAATATTTTTCCTTCCCCAAAGTGAGAGTAGCAGAAATTTTGGTGAATCTAGCACTGTAGTTACATATATTTCCCTGTTAAGGTCTAGTTTGAAGAAAAACTTGAAAACAAACCTATAAGGTTGAGCCTGGTTGCTATAAAGACTTTGTGATGTTGTGTGTTTCTGGGATGAGCTACAGGACATGTAGTTGACTTCTGGACCTGGATATTCTTACTCAGTTCAAAATAAACATACAGAAACAAGCTGGTGCCCATGGTGCTTTATAATGCAGTCGAGAGTCAAAATCCAGGTTGCTGCAGCCCCATTTCCTTTGCAAACACTCACACAATTTCAAAAAAGGAAGTTGTTGTGGCCTCTAGTTTCCTGGGCTTCTCAGGGGTATGGTGAGGTCCCAGTTTTAGGAGCTGAAGCCCAGCTTAGGGGTGCATGTTCCTGTGGTGCTGAGGCCCAGCACCGCAGTGGCCGCCTGGGGGAGTGACCCCTGCTGACCGTGCCGAGCGAGCTCAGCCTCGCATCCACCCATGTTCCCAGAGAACAATGTGAAGAGTCCTAGAACAGGAACTCAGCAGACTGTCAGGGGCCTGTGTAGCCAAAATGTTACTGATTATAAAAATCTTATTGTCTTCAGTCCTCATGCTTTGTCACTGTAAAGCAAACAAAAAGCATTTTTAATATAATTTAAAGGAGCTGCTTTTTTATAGCACATACTATTTTGCTTTGTACTATATTTGATAGTTGCAGAATAATTTAGACTGTAGAAGAACTTTGTTGTATTTGTACTGTTTATGAATGTTTCAAAGAAAGTGCTTTACTTGGTTGCCATAATTTTCTTGTACTGCTGTATTTTTCCCCAACTTCATGGAAACCTAATCTGATTCATACTTTCAGTACAGTTGTTGTTTTTTTTAAATGTGTTTGTGTATTTTTTTCTTTTTGGTCAGTATTCTGAATGTTTACATGTGTTTAACATTAGCCATTGAATGCCTTTTTTTAAAAAAAGGCAGGATTACTCCTACGGTGTAACAGCAAAACGTGAAATCAACCCAATCATAACATGCATGGTAAACAAGAACAGGGCGGACGCCCTGAGCATACATCGCCATTTTGTATCAGCACACAGGCAAGTAAAAGCCTCCTTCAGTCCTCTACCAAAGAATATATTATTCCCACAGGAAAAACTCTGAAAGGTGTGTAAAATCCTCAGAAGGGGGAGCAGTTGATTCAGTAAGACTGCTACAAATTAATACTGCTATGCTTGCTTTGATACCTGACTAAATGTGACTGAGTGCAACAAGCATTTTACAAAAAAATTTTAGTGTTTTGTTTAGAATTCAGGGATCATGCATTTTTTAATGGTGCTGTTTGTTTTTTTATTTCTTCTTTTCTATGAAGAAAAAAAGTGTTGCCTACAAAAGTGACTGCTCATAATACCATAAGTTAAATGAAATTAAATGTTTGTCTCCTCATGTTTCTCTGGTTTTTTCCCCCTTTCTCAAAGTAACAATTTGGGTTTCAATATTAAAATATTCTGGAGAAAATAAAGAAATTAAAATGGAATCAATTTGTCATTTTAATTTAGTAATGAAATGAGGTAGTTTCTATATATATGTAAAGTATACTAATTATTCATTGAACATCTTATTAGGAAAAAGGGAAAACAAATCATACACTGTTAAATTATGTACTCTTATTTTTGGTATGGTGAATTCTCAACATATGGTTATAACTATTGTTTGAACAGTTAAAAACTAAAACAAACCTCTGAAATTAATGGCATCTGCTACGCTTATCACTTAAAATTATATTTTGAACCTCCTGGTTTTCATAAAGATCTTAATTCTTTATATCAAAAGGCGTTCGGGTCAAACAAATTGTTACTGCCATATTCAGTTTTACCTTTTGAAATGAATAGAACAGAAAATGATCTTTTAAAAGAATTGTTCTGGTTCTTTTTTTTATCCTACATTAAATATTATAGCTAGAGTTATTTGAATAAAAATGCTGTGAACCATTAGAACAAAATTGCCTCAGTTATATTTACATAAATGAGTATTTTTTTCAGAAGATGAACCAAAAATTGTTAAACATATTAGTCTGTTAAGTCAGTTCAACTGTTTTCATCTACATAGAAAATGTTGTCTTTAGCCACCAGATGGCGAAAGAGCTTGTTTACTTTTGAAGGGGGAGAAAAACCCCCAAAACATGCCTCTTTTTCCTGCAACAAGCAAAATGATTATAAGGAAATCCCAACTTATCTGGAAAAATTACTAGAGGATAGATATTTTTAAGTTTCATTTAGTTATTTTCACTACAATGATTATGGGTGTTTTTGTGTGTGGGCTACTGTTTTCCTATTCACTTATTTACCAAATATTTTCTTAATTCTATTTAAAATTACAGTGTTTTTTCTCTTTAAATTTTTATTGCATTACTCCACAGGCATCATCTTTAGTCTTAGGTCACTTGGACATAGTATTTTAAGTGGAGAACATACACAAGTATCCATAGTGATATACAAATGTGAAAATTTGGACTCATCAAATGCCACAACAAATCTAGAATTCTACACTGAGCAGTGAACCTAGTCGTGTTATCGGCAGAAACCCTTTTCCAAGCTTCCAATATAATAACTTACCATATTCTTAGTACTTGGAAGATTTCTGGAGTTATAAAACACAAGATTTTACCTTATTTCCAATAATAGCTTTTAAATTTTACAGCTATATTAAATAACATCCTATTGTGATGCCTGACTACAATAAAGCTGATATTAGATATATTTAGCAATTCTGTGAGCTTTTGACTAATCCTAACCAATGTTTGACAAATCAAATGATACAACCCTATTGCAACAAACAGTGCAAACCAACTGAATATCAGTCTACAAATGAAAATACTCCAAGTCTACTTTTGTCAGTGGTTGAGATTTGCATTTGGACATTCATCGCATTTATGAAAAAGTGTTTATTTTAAGATACTTTTCTTAAGCAAAAACTTACATCTATAGTCTTTTTTTTTTTTTTTTGGTACTGGGGATCGAACTCGGGTCCTTGCGCTTGTGCAGCAGGCGGTGAAACCACTGAGCTAAATCCCTGGCGCTATAATCTAATTTTTTAAGAAAATCGTTTACAAGTAGTTCAGAGTGAACTTTCAACCAGTGAGATATTTAGGAGTTTCCCCTTTTTGCTTTTTCCAAATAGGCCAGTGGGTGCTCTCATAAATACCAGTGGATTCTCCTCATTTGGGTGTGAACTTCAGGTGCCTGAAAAGGTCACAAGTAGTTGAAAACCATATAATGTCTATTTCATTTTCTGTGGGCTCATCACAAAAGTCTTTACTGCTTTTATCATAAGCTTGTAAGTGGAAAACATCTCTAGTTTCAAATTGTGGTTTTAGTTGAGGAAAACATTGCCTTCAGAATTCTCATTCTGTAATCAGAGAATACAAGGAATTCAGAGGAGTGCAGAGCTGAGGCACTATTTTATTTTTTTATCTGTTTTGTTTTCAGAATGGAATTTGGGATGTGATGGCATCTTTCAGATCTAGAAAAGTGTGGTTGACCTAAATAACTGTATGAAAGACATGAGTTTCTTCTGGATATCTTCTCCCTTTGTAGAAGCTTCAATAATTATGTGCCTCTAATTATGCTGAAATAACCAATCAGTTGAAATTTCAACGTGTGGACTTGAAAGGCTTGGAGTATGAGTGGGGCCCACTCTCTGTGACAGCTTCCAAGTTTAATCCACTAATACCCTTTATTCTTTTAACCAGTGATTTCATGCAGTTTTCTTGTTTTCTTTTGTTTTTTCATATTCTGTGTGGTTGGTGGCGCCGTTTAGGGACAAGGGTGCTTGCCTGGCATGCAGAAGCCTTGGGTTCAATCCCTAGCACTGCAAAAATAATAAAAATTGATTTTTAAAAATTAGCAGCATATGAAAATAATATTTGTGGTCCCTGCTGTCCTTGGTGGCCATGGACATTTTAATACTTTAAAAAAATGTAATACATATTTCTATATTTTTAAAAATCAAATAATATTACAGAGACTAGCAAAAAGCAATACTCATATAAATTGCAATGTGAGATACTAAAAATGTTTTGAAGCAGATCTTGCTTCTATTCATATTTTTCAGGGTTCAAATCAGAAAAACAAAGCTAGTCTTGCCCATGCAAGTTGCAAGCTTGGATTGAAGTTAGGGACCTTATAAATATCTCATCTGATATAAATGTCTCATCATGGAGAAATAAAAGCTTCCCCCTCTGCTAGTAATCACAGAAAGGAAACATTCTGGTCACTGGGGGAAAATGCAGCCAATGGAAAGCACAAGGATATATATATAGTGCCAGAAATAAACTTCACCTGTATCAATATTTTCCCAAATAAAACTTGCCTGTGGAAGTGAATCCTCCTACTCTTATCAATTCCAGGAATTCCAATCAGGAATGCGAGTCCAGGATGTTTCTGGACAGAAAGGCCTGGTCCCCAGCACCCAGTGGTCTGTAATGAGCAGTGAGCTCTTAGGCCACAGCTAGGAGAGCATGGCTCTGGGTCATTCGCATTCCTCCTCAGCTAGTGACTCACCGACTTCCCAAGACAAAGCCATCTTTTATCACTTCTTACTTATAAATATTCCTCTTAAAGCCATCTGGCAACATAATTTTTAGGCATTTCAGTAAGTATTTGAAGATACTGTGAAACTAAGAAATTTATTTATGCAATTATATTCAGAAATTGTTCTTTCCTACTCTCTCTGAAAGATACTCAAGTTCTCAGCTACTTAAGGAAAAAAGGACGACCTCACAGACTATAAAGGTAGTTGATGCTTTTAATCCTCAATACTTGCAAAGGTATTTTAAAGACCATGGAAGTTTTGGTGTCTACATCCATCCAACATTCAATGAGAAATTATTTTTCAGATCTGCATTTCTATACTAGATGCAGTATTATAGAGAATATGAAATTTTTCTGATGACTACATTCTTCAAGACAAATGAAGTTATCAAGCATTTCTTTAATGTGCCTTTCATCACATTTGTACCATGACACATCTTCATTAGAACAAAGGCATTTTCTTAGAAAATCCCATTCAAATGTATCTTTTCAGGATCTCCTGTTTCCCAGAACAGCTTGAGTGGATTGGTGGGGAAGAGGAGGTGGTATAGAGAAATGGAAGTTTTAGAAAGTTTTCCTTTGAAATTATAATTTCCAGACTACATACATTATGCAGGTTCAAATTAAAAATAACAATACAGTATAAGAAAATGATTTTTTGAATCTTCTATTGAAGGAATTATATATTCTTATTTAAATTAAAAATAGAAAAACTTCTGTGTATAGAGAATGTTTTGTCATCGAATTTGGCTCATCTGAAAAAAATAGCACAGATGGTTTAACTTGCTTCAGGATTATGGTTTTGTGCCGTGCAAGATTCACCAGAGAAGGTAAATCAGCATGTGCTCATTTCATTCTGTGTTCACTGATAGAAATACTTAGTCATGTGCATTAACATTCTTGTTGCCAGACCTTAAACAAGAAAATAAATGTTATTTTCTAGCTAAATTAGAGTTTGTCTTTTTGTAATTTTACATTCAAATTAATGAGATGATACTAAAAACCAAAACCAAAGAAAAAAAATCAATCTAATAAAATTACATATGCCTTCATTTGAAAACTCTTTGGTCAAGACCTAGTAAGTAAAATTTTAAAACAAATGTCAAAATAGTATAGAAGAAAGGAAGATCCAGGCTTGATAGTTGGCTATTTTTAACATGGTTGTTTATTAAAATACTGTCATGGAAAATGTTTATGCCTGTGAGGATGTGTGTTTAAAATGCACTTCTACACAGATTTGACCTGTTTTTTATAATTTATGTTGGCTCATACAAATATTGCCAAGAATGAATGATAGCTTTAATAATGAGCAATCTGATTTCCTGACCCGTGGTTCAGCAAATATATTTATGCAAATCTGATGAGGTTAGTTCCTGCATGGGAAGCAAATGTCTCTCTGGACTGTGCACAATAGAGATCTTTCTATTCCTTTTTATCATCCCCTGATTTATATAGTTATAGAGAGTCACCATTAATTTTTAGTGACCTGTATATGTCACTGGGCTGAAAGCTACTGAAGAGCAGATGTGGTATCGCATTTGTTTTGATGCCTCTAGCAGCTTCCGTCATGCATAACATAGGACAGAGCATTGGTGTTCACAACACAGGTTGCTCCACGGCTTCCTTCTGCAGCAGGCTGCCAGATGTGTCATGGGTACTGCAATGAACAACAGTTAAAATTCCCTGGGTTTCTGTTTTAGCCAAAGTAGATAAATAAAGAGAGCATCTTTAGAAGTGTTAAGTATTATGAAAGAAAATAAAACAGTGGAGACACAGTATCATATCAGAGTATGGAAGCTGTGAATGTACATAGAGTCCCTAGGGACATTCTCACTGAGAAGATTCCATGGAGTGAATTGTGCCTTTCCATTCATATGTTGAAGCTCTTACCTGCACTATTACTGCATTTGGAAATAGCACCTATAAGGAGGTAA